AATTATCATTCAGCAACATGGCAATCCTATTAAAACAGAAGGCAAGTCATCACACTTTTATGTTCAAACTAGACTAAGCTATGTGAATCTCACATAAAGACAAAATAAAGTCCTTGTAATGACAAAAAAACAACTAATTTCTTGCAAACTCACTGTTCTATTCATTTTCTCTCATTTCAGCTTCAACTCCCTGCCCTCAAAGATCCCAAACACACACCCACACGAGTGATGCAGGACTTGATTTTTAATAAGGTGTCATCTTCTCAGAAAGAAGTCCTTGCCAATTTTGCTTTCCCTCTTTTCCAACAAGTACTCTAAAGTATCCCACATCTTATTACTTTCCTGAAATGCTTAATTCTTTCTCTTTCTGTAGCATCTAAGTACATAGCTATTATCTCTCCTATGCACCAAGCATCTAGAACTAGACCAGTGCCTTACCTATAGTGACTATTAGTGACTAAGCATCACTGAAATCTGCCTGCCTCTGCCTCCCAAGTGCTGGGATTAAAGGTGTGCACTGGTGCGGGAGAATTCTCTGTATTCTGTCAATCATGTTTTAAATAAACACTGATTAGTCAGGCAGGAAGTATAGGTGGGAAAACCAGACAGGAAGTAGAGGTGATGCAAAGAGAACAAGGAGAATTCTGGGAAGGAGGAAGCTGATTCCTCCCACTCTTGCCCAGATCACCGAAGCAGCAGGATGTGATCTGACAACTGGAAAAGGTACTGAGCCAGGTGGCTAAAATAGATCAGAATAATGGGTTAATATAAGTTACAAGAGCTAATAAGAAGTCTGAGTTAATGTGCCAATCAGTTTTATAACTTATAGAGATCTCTGTGTGATTTTTCTTAGGTCTTGCTGGTTGTGGGGTACCAGGTGGGACAGAAACCCCAACAAACAGTCCCCGATCATGTTACAAATGGTATACAGTGAGCCACCACTACTTGACTTGAACTTCTTTCCTAAAAAAACAGAAGATGTGCAAATCACAGAGCTAAACTAGATTCTTGCTTCTACAGTGAGATTCAAGTGGCATGAATCTGTTTACCCAACAAAATCAAATACATTATAATATTCGTCCACATGGTCTTGGGGTCATCATCAATTCTTTCTTGTATACATTTTACTTGTTTCCAAGTCAATATAACTATCAAAGGCCTCTGGCTATGTCATTAAACTGCTCAGAAGCCTCTAAGGCTCTTGTTTTATTATTAAAATGAAATTCAATCTTACAGAGCAGGTGTGTGAACCTCTGTATTCTACATGCCACCTTTTTTCCCTACATTAAATTTTAATGTTTTCTACTCCACATGCCAATCAGATCATTGTGTTTACTTCTCCCTCTTATATTTTCTACCTCTTTTATTTGTAACATTTCTGATTCTGGAAGATGGGAAGAGAGTGCTGATTAAGGTTGGAGCAGTTTATGGATAAACACAGAAAATCGTGATGCTGTTACTGCTTTGGATGCAAGCTCTCAATTCTACGGAACAACCTTAAGATTACGTTTGCCCAGTGTTTATAGCCATAAGGTTCTCCAGGATAGTGATGCTCTTCTAGTCAGCTGCATCCTACAAGTTTTCTCTATCTGATCTCTTGTTGGACTGAGTTCTGTGTATTCTAACTATGGTTTATAAACTAAATGGAACTCTGTGCACTTGTCCTCTTAAAATCCTCTTTATGAAAATGAAGGATCTCTCACCTCTTTGCATCTGCTACTTATGGAAAAACGGGGAGGGGACAATAAGACTGGAGGAAAAGAAGGAAAAACCATCTTTCTTCACATAGAAATTTTGATCATCTTCTTCATCCTTCAAAAACACCACCCATATACCTGGCAGAGGAAAAGAATCATGTCTTTGCCGAACAGTATCCCCTCAGTGGGCCTTCACTGAGGCCTCAGAGCTGATGTAATGTTTTCCACCCTTTGTCTCTGGCCTTTCTTCTTATCATTTGCGTCTCATGACTTGTACCCTTGTTTCTGGATTTTGTTCATGTGCCTCATCCCGATAATTGTGCCACTTCTCAGCTTCTCTTTCTGGAAAAGCATAATTTCTCCTTCCAGACTCAACCCTGCTCTTACTCCTCCAAGATTCCTTCCTTGGTACCCTGGGTCAGAAAGTCCAAAGTTAGGGAACCCCTCGCAGATTACATAACCTTGAATTACTTACTCGTTTTCTTTTCCCCTACACCTAGCCCTTGAGCTCTTTAAGCCAATGAGGTGGCTTTCATCTCAATAGCCACAAGTGCCAAGCACGGTGCCAGGTGTTTGTATTCATTCATCTTGCCAACAAAATGATTCCCCACTTTCTTTTTCTTTCTTGTTCATCCAAGAAGAGTCCAGGGCAAGTTCATAAGAGCTTGGTGGAATTCAATTTAAGCAAAAATGAGATTTCAACCTTTTAATCTTTCAGGTAATAGGGTGAAAATCCAGACTCAGCTACCCTTTGTCATTTTTACAAAGAATACATGGTGAGAATGACTGTAACTGAAAGCTATTGATGAGATGGTTTTCATTTATGCTCACTATAAAATGAAAAATAAAATAGACACAATTGATCTATCATGAGTACGAATTCTCTAACAGAACTTCTCCATGACGGTTTCGCAGTAAAATGTACACTGGTCTTTCTGGAGAACAGTGGTTGGAGATATTAGAATCTAGAGTGATTTGCTTTTTTTTTTTTTTTGACAAATGCCTGCCGCAGAGCCACTGGGCATTGTCCTTCCGCCATGGCCATGTTAAATGTTCACACTGATAATGAAGAATAGCTTTATCAGAATGTAGATACCGTGCAATCGATGAAAGATTTCTACAGACTTCTAATGCCTTTGACTGGAAGGATTCAGATACCTATTTAGTCAGAGGAAATCTGTCCTGGGTCCTTCCAGTTGAAACTATTATAATTAATCCCAAAATACTCTCAAACTAACGAAGAGTTCTTTCTACAACCTTCATTTGATGTTTCTGTGATCACGAAATTGGCAAAGTGAGCTTGCCCATTTACTATCAAGCTTTTCGTGCCCTGAGTTCGGCCTCCAGGCCATGTGTGGGCACGTTTTAAGAAATCTAAAGGTAGATATCTCATTAGATGCACTAACATACTTGTTCTTTCTTTACGGCACCAAGGGAATTGTCAATTGATTAACCTATATATGATTTTAATGATTTGGGTCCCTGCTTCTCTGAAGTAGAAAACGGTTTTACAGTCTAAGATAGCTGAGACTTCATTACTTGCTGCGAAATAGAATTTATTTAAGTAACAGAGCCCACTGGGGCGCATTAACATGAGTGATTGCCATTACATGCAATCTACCACAACAAATCCTGTCGTTGCCTTCAGTGACAGCAGCATCTTCAAATGTGATTCTCACTTATCACTAAGGAAAATTAGGGCATATTTCACACTTTCCAATTTCTCTATATCCCCTCTGCAGCAGCATGACTTCTTAGCAAGACTTCTTTTGCATTTGTAAATTATGGAATAATGCATGTGGCAGGCAATTCATGAAAGTGTTTCTCTGGACAGCTAGACCTGTGTCGCTGGATTCCTCAAAAACACCTACCATGATACACCCACATTTCAATTTAATTCCTTTTCATTTCAACTATGCTGAAGTCACTGCCTAGGGTTTATGCTAAGGCAGGTTTGGTCTCCAGCCAATAACATCTCTACATTGGAAGGTATGTTGTGTATTACATGCACTGTTTGAAAACCTTGTAGTGCAACAAAGATTAGTTTCCCTGTTTTTTGTTTGTTTGTTTGTTTGTTTTTTCCTAAGGATGAAATTAAATCTTTGAGTCAAGTAACATGCTCAGGACCACGACTGTTGGGTGACTGGATGAAGATTCGATTGCAGGTCCATCGGACAACAAAGCCTGAGCTTTTATTCTGAAACAAGTATATGTGTTAGCTCTTATCTCTTCTTCCTGCTCAAGAAAAACAGATGCTGTGACCAAACATTTTCCTGTCCTGTCGGTGTCAAAACGGAAAGTGCTCAAGTTCATAGGGCTAGAAATCATGCAACATTTACTCATTTTCCTTGCTTTGACTTCTAGGAGGTTCTTGCGCTGGAGTCAGGGCCAGTTCTTTTCATGTAATGATGAGGGAGGGTAGCCTAAGGCTGTCCTGGGAACAGCAAGCTCATGTATCATCCTTCTCTTTGTTCTGTGGATAATATCCAGCGTGCATCTCTGATTGGCCTCATGAGGAGAGATATGCTAATTTTCTACTCTACAAGGAAAAACATTATACAAAAGATGGCTATTCCCTAATGTTATGAATGCATTTTTAAGCAATTATGAAAGAATATACATGATTATTAAAGCTCGTTTCTGTACCAAAAATGTCATCGAACAGATTTCATCACAATCAAAATTGTAAACAGTAGAACTGAATGGCAAAGCTGTCCAGAACCTCCATAAGTTGGAAACCCATGAAAATATATAAGAGCAAGAGTGCTACTTGTAACAATCAACTGAAATATTTGGAGTAAAATCAGTTGTTAAGTGCCTTCCCAAAAATAGAATCTGGAGGTCTTATTAGTTCAATGAAATAGAGCACTTCCAGAAAGTCTATATCATTCTTAAGAAAGTATAGATAGACAAAGTCTTTGCTTTAAAAGCAGGACTCCCCAGAGAAGAGTGCACCAATTGGTTTCCTAATGGTCAGACCTGAGTACCAAATGGTCAGACCTGAGTACCAAATGGTCAGACCTGAAGACATACATACAAATGACATTATACAGATTGAGCAAGTTATTATACAAACAACAATTAATGAAAAAAGAGGTTATGAATTTTAAAGAGAGTATAAAATAAGGGTTGGAGGGAAAAAAGAAAAGGGAAAAGTGATGTAATTATAGCATAGCTTAAAAATCCAATAAATATTTTAATAGGCCTTCTTTTTATTAAGGCAGAGAAGCAAGGATCAGCACTTGTTCTCGACTGTGGCATTGCCTCGCTCTCTTACTTTTTGCCTTTGATCCTCTTCACCAGGTTTTTAGCCAACACCACTTTCAGAGGTCTCAGTGGTTCCATCAGAGTCAAAGGGTCTACCATCATCAGCTCTGAAAACAATTTTTTCATCTGGACTTTGCAGCATGACCCTATGGAAAAGCCAATGTGGACTCGCCTGGGCAGCTGGCAAGGGGGAAGGATTGTCATGGACTCCGGAATATGGCCAGAACAGGCCCAGAGGCACAAAACCCACTCCCAGCACCAAAATAAGCTACACTTGAGAGTGGTGACCTTGATCGAACACCCATTCGTCTTCACAAGAGAAGTAGACGATGAAGGTTTATGCCCTGCCGGACAACTCTGTCTAGACCCTATGACGAATGATTCTTCCATATTAGACAGCCTATTTAGCAGTCTCCATAGCAGTAATGACACCGTGCCCATCGAATTTAAGAAGTGCTGCTATGGGTATTGCATTGATCTGCTGGAACAGCTAGCAGAGGACATGAACTTGGACTTCGACCTCTACATTGTAGGGGATGGAAAGTACGGAGCTTGGAAGAATGGTCATTGGACTGGGCTGGTTGGCGATCTCCTGAGTGGCACGGCCAACATGGCAGTCACTTCTTTCAGCATCAATACTGCTCGAAGCCAGGTGATAGACTTCACCAGCCCTTTCTTCTCAACCAGTCTGGGCATCTTAGTGAGGACTCGAGACACGGCAGCTCCAATTGGAGCCTTCATGTGGCCACTCCACTGGACCATGTGGCTGGGGATTTTCGTAGCTCTGCATATCACTGCCATCTTTCTCACATTGTATGAATGGAAGAGCCCCTTCGGTATGACCCCGAAGGGGCGGAATAGAAACAAAGTCTTCTCCTTCTCTTCTGCCTTGAACGTCTGCTATGCCCTTCTGTTTGGCAGAACAGCAGCTATCAAACCCCCCAAATGCTGGACTGGAAGATTTCTGATGAATCTTTGGGCCATTTTCTGTATGTTTTGCCTTTCTACATACACGGCGAACTTGGCTGCTGTCATGGTGGGTGAGAAGATCTATGAAGAGCTTTCTGGGATTCATGACCCTAAGGTAATTGTTTCCTTTGCTCCAGCTTTCCTTGCTGTGCCTTGACAACTACATGTACTTTGTCTACTTCTGTGGTGTATCTGTCTTCTTCATCTGGTTCAAGAATATTCTCTATGTCAGTGGAGATAGCCAAAGATGAGGACCTGAGCTTTGTGTACAGAGCTCACATAAAAAGCTTAGAGGGAGGGTTGGCATCTGCCTCTAATCCCAGGGCCGCAGAGGTGGAGACATGTGGATTTTTGGCCAGTGAGTTCAGTGACGCAAGCTAGTGAGAGACCTGTATCTAAACACAAGACTACTGTCATCCTGAGCAGTAACCTTCAAGGTTGACGGCTTGCATCCACATGTACACACACAGAGATGCACATACATGCACAGAAATTCACCTACATACATGTATACACTTGAACTGGCACACACAGATCTCCTCTCTGCCAACTGCATAGGCCAGTCAAAAAGGTTTTACCTAGCTAAACTAAATAGATTATGGTTGTTGTTGTTATTGTCGTTTGTATTTATTTTATTAAATGAAACAAAATAGGGAGCATTATTTGTTATTTGGTATTTGTTTTAGAGATGACATTTCTTGTGCAAACATCTGCTAGTGTACCTTTCTTGGTTCTTTAACCATCTGACAGAATGGCTACTGGGGAGTAATTATGCAGCATGACAATAGTGCATAGAACTTTATGCGCAGAAATCCTAACAACTTGATTAATTACTTTTCAGGGGAAATTAACAGAAATGAACAAGAATGATATTTTAAAGAGCAAGCCATTTGTTTTGTTGTTAAAATGTCCAAAGCAATGGAAAGAACTGACAGGTTATCATAAGCACCCTGAGGTCAGCTGTGAGGAAACTCCCAAGAATCTGAAGAACGAATTCTACACTGAGGTAGAAAGATTAGCTAAGGGTAGGGTGTCTTTACAGAATAAAGAAAAATGTATGTTCAGTCACCTTTGGTAAAGGAATGGTCCTTACAGTGTCATTAGAATGTCCACAGGCATTTGGAAAAAAATTATCTTGGGTGCCTTAGACATCCAACTACGTGGATAGAAGGAAGTGGGGAGGGAAGGCACACACAAACCAAGATGCAATGATGAATTATTTTCAACTTGACTGGACCTGGAATGATCTAGAATGTGGGATTCCAGACAGGAACCACTAAGGAGGAAGGACCTACCCTGAATGTGGGGATCACTATCCCACGGTCTGCAGACCAAAAATGAGTGTAAATACAAAAACAGAGGCCAGATGAGCATTGACATTCATATCTCTCTGTCTCCTGACTGCAGGCATAAGGGCCTGTGCCTTCTATGCATGTCATCATGGTTTCTTGGCAATTGTCTGTACCACTTCAACATAAAACAAAATAATCTCTTCTTGAATCGATTTGCTCTTGTCAGATATAGGGCTAGAGCAATAAGAAAGGCAATTAGTACACTAATACATGTGCAACGCTCAGGCAAGGTTAGCCATATATATCTTCTGTCTGGATTAAAATGGGATCCCTTCCAATGGGTAAATAGACAGAGACTCTGTCTAACTAATATGAACAGGGAGGGTTTACTGAAGCCCTGATAGAGATGCAGATCCTAAGCAGAGAGAATCCAAATGTATGGGAAACAGCTGGTGTAGATGGGAAACGCTAAGAACATTCCGTGATCAAAGCAAGCTTAGCTAAGCCATCTTTCAAATGGTGCAGCCATCATCATGACTTTTCTGATGTCATGTTCCGGTGTCATGTCAACACTCAGTACATCAAGGTACTGATCCATATGTTATATGTATATGAATAATTTTAATTCTTTTCATAAAATGTCAGAAAATTGGAAATCTACTAATTATCCTCAACAACTGACGGGCTTTCCCAAAGGACTGGTGACATCACCAGAGAATTCTCATGAACCATTGTAATGAAGACATAAGGTCTATGCCCCAACCAAAAGCACCTGAGAAATTCCACCTATAGGCAACTGCAGACATCCTAATGTGTGAAATGAGTCCACAAGAAGGGATTGAGCTAAAAATGCTTCACTAACTAGGAAAAGAATTGTGTTGCTTCTTAATGAGCACTCGGAGCCTTGTGCTATGAGCTGGAATCCAGCCGAATGCAAATAAGTCCTTAAGAATAAACAAATGAATCACCCAAAAGAGAGATTTTGGTGATGTGACAGCATTCACACTCCAAAGCAATATTAGCATCTGCAGCTTATCATTTCCCCCAGGAGTCCTGTAGATCTCTTGAAGATTTGCTCTTCTAGACTTAGGTAGACTTTGTGCAAGAATCTTAACGATATGACTTTGAAATTAAAAACTGCAAATGGGAAGCTATTCATCCCTCTCCAGTACAAATACAATCTAATCCTTGCCTGATGTGCAGATTCCGGAGGACTATGGTATGTAAAAGGCTGAGCACAAAACTACCTCATCTGTCATTCGTCAGAAGTAGGTTGGCCAAAATTAAATCATGGATATCATGCGTGAAAAACCTGAAGCTGTAGCTAGTCAGAGGATTAGAAAGAAAATCAGAAACAGCAAATAGCTTCTAAGAAAAAAATAGTTATGGTGCTAAGGAGTTGGTTCAGTAACCAAAGGGTTTGCTGTGCAAGCATGAGGACCTGAGTTCAGATCCCCACTACCCATTTATTTTTTTATTTATTTTATTGAGCTCTACATTTTTTTCTGTCCTGTCCCCTCCCCTTCAACCCTCTTCCATGGTCCCCATGCTCCCAATTCACTCAGGAGATCTTGTCTTTTACTACTTCCCATGTATACTAGATCCATGTATGTCTCTCTTAGGGTCTTCATTGTCATCTAGGTTCTCAGGGATTGTGATCTGTAGGCTGGTTTTCTCTGCTTTATGTTTAAAATCTACTTATGAGTAAGTACATATGATATTTGTTTCTCTGGGTCTGGGTAACTTCACTCAATATGATGTTTTCTAGATCCATCCATTTGCCTGCAAATTTCAAGATGTCGTTATTTTTTCTCCTGCCATTGTGTAAATGTACCACATTTTCCTTATCTATTCTTTGATCGAGGAGTATTTAGGTTGTTTCCAGGTTCTGGCTATGACAAACAATGCTGCTATGAACATAGCTGAGCACATGTCCTTGTAGCACAATTGAGCATCCTTTGGGTATGATTGAGCATCCTTTGGGTATATACCCAAAAGTGGTATTGCTGGGTCTTGAGGAAGGTGGTTTCCTAATTTTCTGAGAAATCGTCACACTGACATCCAAAGGGGTTGTACCAGTTTGCATTTGCACCAGCAATGCAGAAGTATTCCCTTTACCCCGCAACCTCTCCAACATAAGTCGTCATCAGTGTTTTTGATCTTGCCAATTCTTACAGGTGTAAGATGGAATTCCATAGTTGTTTTGATTTGCATTTCTCTGATGGCTTAGGGACATTGAGCATTTCCTTAAGTGTCTTTCAGCCATTTCATATTCTTCTGTTGAAAATTCCCCGTTTAGTTCTGTACTCCATTTTTTTATTGGGTTATTTGTTCTATTGATGACCAATTTCTTGAGTTCTTTGTGTATTTTGGAGATCAGTCCTCTGTCAAATGTGGTGTTGGTGAAGATCTTTTCCCATTCTGTGGGCTACAGTTTTGTCTTGTTGATCATGACCTTCGTTTTACAGAAGCTTTTCAGTTTCAGGAGGTCCCATTTGTTAATTGTTTCTCTCAGTGTCTGTGCTACTGGGGTTATATTTAGGAAGTGGTCTCCTGTGCCAATGCTTTTAAGTGTACTTCTCACTTTCTCTTCTATAAGATTCAGTATGACTGGCTTTATGTTGAGGTCTTTGATCCATTTGGACTGGAGTTTTTGTACATGGTGATAGATATGGATTTATTTTCATTCTTCTACATGTTGATATACAGTTTTGCCAGCACCATTTGTTAAATATGCTTTCTTTTTTCCATTTGATATTTTTTGCTTCTTTGTCAAAAATCAGGTGTTCAAAGGTGTGTGGATTGATATCTGCATCTTCAATTTGGTTCCATTGGTCCTTTTGTCTGTTTTTATGCCAATACCAGGCTGTTTTAATACTGTAGCTCTGTAGTAGAGTTTGAAGTCAGAGATTGCGATGTCTCCAGAGGGTCTTTTATTATACAGTATTTTTTGGCTATCCTGGGTTTTTGCTTTTCCATATGAAGTTAAGTACTGTTCTTTCGAGGTCTGTGAAAGATTTTGTTGGGCATTACATTGAATCTGCAGATTGCTTTTAGTGAGATTTCCATTTCTGCTATGTTAATTCTACATACCCAAGAGCATGGGAGGTCTTTCTACTTTCTGGTGTCTTCTTCAATTTCTTTCTTCAAAGATTTAAAGTTCTTGTCATACAAGTCCTCCATTTGTTTGTTAGAGTTACTCTGAGATATTTTATGCTATTTGTGGCAGTTGTGAAGGGTGATGTTTCTCTGATTTCTTTCTTGGCCCGTTTATCATCTGTGTTAAGGAGGGCTACTGATTTTTTTGAGTTCATCTTGTATCCTGATACATTATTGAAAGTGTTTATGAGTTGCCCACTACCCATTTTAAAAGCCAAGCAAGGCTTTTTTTCTTTTTTTTACCCAGCATTGGAGGACGGAGACATGAGTATCTGTAGGACTTTTTAGGCAGCTAATCTAACTTAATAAGTAAGCTCGAGGTTCATTAAGAGACCCAGTCTCAAAAAAATAAGATGTAGAATAACTGAGGAACAATCATTGTTGTTTTCTAGTCTCCACGTGCAAATGAACACATGTGCACATGCACACAACATGTACAAACAAATATTACACCCCCACACACACATACACACAATGGTCTTTTAATCCCCAATACCATCAAAATAAACTTTTTAGAAAACGAACCTACCACACAAGAAAAGTGCGTGGTGATAGCACACACTTTTAATCCCAGCACTCTGGATTTCTGTGAGTTCGAAGTCAACCTGGTCTACAAAATGAGTTCTAGGACAGCCAGAGCTGTTACATAGAGAAACCCTGTCTT